AGGATCCCGCTACCTACCTTTCTACACGCACTCGGGAACATAATCAACCATCAAGGGCCTAGCCTACCTTCTTCCCCCGAATACAACGTACGGTCATTATAGCTGTATATAGACTGAAAGATACCCCAAATACAGCTATAATGACCGTACGTTGTATTCGGGGGAAGAAGGTAGCCTCGGGAAAGGGGTGAATCTGCTACCATGGGTTGGGCCTATCCCCTCAGGGTTGAACCTTAACCCCTAGCAATGCATCAAAAGGGCCACGAAACAGGCCCTACCAAGACCAACTACCGTCTTCACCCGAATAGGTAAATCTGCTACCATGGGTTGGGCCTATCCCCTCAGGGTTGAACCTTAANAAGACCAACTACCGTCTTCACCCGAATAGGTAAATCTGCTACCATGGGTTGGGCCTATCCCCTCAGGGTTGAACCTTAACCCCTAGCAATGCATCGAATGGGCCACGAAACAGCCCCTACCAAGACCAACTACCGTCTTCACCGGAATAGAACGCCTGGTCATTATCGCTGCATGTGGATCGAAAGTTGTGCCAAATACAGCTATAATCACCAGGCGTTCTATTCGGGTGAAGACGGTAGGGGGGGGCAAGCCAACTATCACGGGGCAAGTTGTACATGCCTAGGGTCTCGTTTTTTTTGTCTGTAAAGCTCACGATACTCGGTAATGGACGAAATTGATTGTGCGCGAGGGAGAATGCGAGGTTCTGGGGAGGAGGTAGGGGAGATTGACGATGAACTAGCGGCGAGGCGAGCAAGGAAAAGCGTGTCAGTGCGTGCTGCAACAGTTACACCAACGGACCTAGCTCAGTTGGTACACCCGTGAACTGTTGAAATATGAATCAGACCCAAGTTCGAGTCCAGATGCAGTCAGATTAACAAAATAACGTACTTCTGAATTCCCTAGTGTCGATCTGTTCAATCATGACATCTCTATCATGGCCGTCTCCTTTTTTTTTTTTTTTTTTTTTTTTTTTCCAAAAGCAAAACAAACAGTTTTGCAGTTATGGGTGGGCGAACGGGTAGCCTGCAAAAACGGATAAAGTTTACAAGTCTGCGAAAATGGATACGAGACTAACCTCTCTCCCTCTCTCTCATTCTCCTGGTCTCTTGCCTATTCCCAATCACTCTCCTATTCTCAGTTTCTTTCTTATTCCCAGTCTCTTTACTATTCCCAGTCTCTTTCCTATTGCCAGTCTCTTTCCTATTGCCAGTCTCTTTCCTATTCCCAGTCAAATTGAAATGTTGGTAAAATTTCATGAAAGTGCACTTTTGGCTTGCTGTTTTATATGTTTTTTATTTTTATTTTTCGGTTTTTTTTTACAATATGTTAGTAAGAAGTGCACTCTACAGATTGGTGTAAATTATGGTTAAAATGACCCAGCCTGGCCTCTTTCTTATTCTCAGTCTCTTTGCCATTTCCAGTCTCTTTCCATTGCAGGACCATAAACAATAGACAAGCATAAACGAATTTACAAGCATAAAAGACTATTGGCAGACAGGGATGCTAAGTGCGCTGAGACCATTGAAGGGTGGGTGTGGGAGGCATTCTCTGCAGAGTGATGCTTTCTTGCGAAGGGAACAGGTAGGGAAAGAACTGCGCATTATTCAGTAACATGATCTGAATCTGCAGTGGAGACTCTCTTGCTGCAACGTGGATTGCGCTG